AGCACAAGTGCAGTATAAATTGTATGGTAATGAAATAGCAATCTGTGCTATATATGGCAGGCAGGAGGAAGCCACAGCGTTCTCACCTCTACTCATGATTTTGTATATAGCCATATATAGAGACACATAGCTTTGGATCACATCTGCAATGGTGTAAATCAGGTGCAATACTATTCATTAGAGTGTAAAACCAGAGTAAGTGAGATCAGAATCAAGCCCGTGAACTCTTTTGACCACCCATTCACAATACGTTCTCTCTCATATCAGGGGATGTTGCCCTGTGTAGTTTTCCCCAGGATATAGGTTGAACGCATGGTGAACTCCAACCACAGTCCAGCCTACGGCTGTGATTCTCCTGTTACCGAGACTGGAGTAAATCAGGAGTGACGCCACTGAATCAACAGTTACACTAGTGAGAGAAGAAATTCGGTGGGAGTTAAAGGTGCTCATTGCATCCCTGCGGGTACTTGCATAATCAAGCCAGTAATCAGCAGGAGAGCTTGAGGAAAACTTCTGGTAGAATCTCTGGATAATAAGCAAATAGCACAAGGGAATTTTTAGATAACATTAAACCCTTTCCTCTCTGGATCACAGAGGCCTTGCCTCTTGCATCCTGCTTAGGAAATTAAGAATTGTAAAAAGTGTATTGGTAGCCTATGCAGTTTAAATCTAATGATCCTTTGTGGCAGATTGACAAAGAATAATTTTGGGTTTGCATGAGCCTGCCTTCAAAGGGTGCAGCTGGCTCCTAATGTGGCTGGTTTAACTCTGCTGGGCTCTGGTGAGAGTTTCTCTTATCTCCGCCATGTCAAGCAGTACCCCGTCCCATATTAAATAAATTCCACTGGGAATTCTCTTTCAAGTGAGTTTCAGATTCCCTCTCTCTAAGGATGTCAATTTAAAACTAGCTTTTCCCAAGTATTAGGGTACGTCTTCACTGCACAGCTATTTCGGAATAAGCTATTCCAGAATAGTTATTCCAAAATAGCTAATTTTGAAATAGCATGTCGACACTGCATGGAAGCCTCAAAATTAGTCCAAGATAGGCTTCCCTAATGTAGACATGCTATCTCTATTTAGAACCCCAGGAGGCACTGGTGAGGAATAACTTAAAATGACCCTGGTGAGGGGCTATTTCAAAATAGCACAAGTGGAAAGTCTACACATGGCGTATTTCGAAATAGCTATTTCAGAATAGGTGTTATTGCTCGTAGAATGAGGTTTACAGAAGTCAGAATAAGCCATCCAATATTTCGAATTTATTTTGAAGTAACGGAATTTCTGTGTATTCACATTGTTATTTCGAAATAATGCTAGTTATCTCAAAATAATGGTGCAGTGTAGATGGAACCCTTAGTGAACGTAGGGGCCAAATTCACTGCTCAGAGGAATTCCACTAAAACCAATGTATCTGCACTTGTTTGCGCCAGCAGTAAGTTTGGCCCTAAATTTCTGTCACTTGAATATTCATGGAGCACAAACGCAAAGTAGGAGTGAACTCCGCCAAAATAAATTCTTTGTATAAAGTTAAGAAAATCTTTGAATGAAGTGAATGTTTCAAAGCAAGTTTCGGCATGTAAAAGTTCGCAACAAAAGGCAAAGTGAATCTGGGCATCAAGGATGGGTTAAGGGGAAGCAAGAAAGCATAACACGTTAAAAGCAATAAACATAACGACCTTGTCCTGGATGAAGGTGGTTGGGTTTTTAAAACTCAGTTTATAAATGTCCTTGGGGGCACCGCCTTGTCAGCCGACGGTCAGGGCAGTGTGTGTGTGTATGTTTCCGAGAAAAGGTTTAACGTCCGTGCCTTTACTGCTAGGACCGGGGTCCCATCGCAGAGGGTGGCCAGCAGGCCAACAGACGCCCCGTTATATAGGAAGAGCTTATTACATCTTAGATTTCAGCTGCTAGAATTTCATAATCCCTTCGCAGCGGGCAGCCTTGAGGAAAGACTGAAAGATGCCCCAGTGGGTCCTGTCACCTGGGAGTGACACAGATCCAAACGCCCAAGCTCTTCCTATAACTGTCCCTTTAGACCGGCTGAAGTTCTTTTAAATTGTGCTTGGTTCTGTTACAGCAACTGAAGGAGTCAGGTTAAAGCTTAAACAGTTACAGGTTTATTAAAGAAGCTTATAAATCATATGGTTACAATGGCTATTGCTCTATTTCTTAACTATTAGCAAAATATAGGTCTTAAAAATGGTTACAAAGAAGATAAAGATAGAAAAATAGAAATAATGGTACCAAGTAACAGCTTACTCTTTCTATGTGTACACTTAAGACAGAGGACCACATCCAGGTACCATTTTTACCCCCTTCTGTGCCTCTCGACTCCAGCATGTCAGGCCAGGGCCGGTCCCTCAATTCCTAGGAAAGACGAAAATACGAGGTGGGCGTCCCCATAGAACCTCGGGAGGTCAAACACCTAACCCGACCAGCAGGTAGAGGGTAGAATGACACTCAAAGTGAGTGTGTGCTGGGCCCATCTTTTATAATCATGGGGTCACGTATTTCTCTTTCTTATCTTAATTGCCAATTGATGCTGGTCTGTCTGCTGTGAGACCAGTTCTTACAAGGGAGTTGTGAACTTAATTTACACTTGTAAGAGAGATTTGAGGTGATTAAATTTTGAAGTACAGGACATTGTTTTCTCAGTGGAAAATTCCTCTCAGGGACTGTGTGTGTGTTCGAATCAACATAGGGGCCAGCCGCAGCCTCGAGGCCAGCTTATTGACATTAGCTGCTCTCTCTCCACGTATCTGTGTTTCAGCTTCTCAGGATCAGATGAGCCAGCATAGACTATGCTGATATTATTGCTCCTTCTCTGCCCTGGGCTTCAGAGAGGCAAATAAGATGGATGATATGGGGTTAGTCTGTCTGGCCACACGCCTATAAAGTGAAAAGAGTCTTAGTATTGGGCAAAGTTCATAGGCTCATGGTTGGAGCATACCCCATGATGTAATGTGTCCTATGCCTTCTTTGGTCTGGTGGTTTTCCTGCAACAAGAAACATAGTCCATCAGGGAAGGAAGCAGAAGCTTCCCCTGACCTCACTGGCCATCTCTGTCAGTTTCTGTTATCCCTCATTGTTGATCTTGCATTGCTTTGGTGAAAAATATGTAGTTCATCAGCGAGGCTGTGGGTGCTTCTCCTGTCCTTAATCCTCATCACTGGTCTCTGTTGTTCTCCGCCATCCCTCGTTGGTAGTCTTGTATGGAGCATTTGTGGCAAACACATAGTCTGCCAGGGGAGGCCAGGGGTGCCTTCCCTGATCTTGGTACTCAACAGAGGTCTCCGTCACTCTCCATTGTTCCATGTCGGTGATGTTGTATATCATTTTAGTGGCAAATACGTAGTCCATCGGGGAGGCTATGGGTGCTTTCCCTGATCTTGTCCTTCATTGGTGGCCTCGGTTGGTCATCAGCATCTCTTATTGATGGTCTCTTCTACCACCTGTAGAAAGATACAAAGCCCGTCGGGGAAGGAAACGGGTGATGTCCCTGGCTGGGTCCCTCCTAAGTGGGCTATCTCATGTATCTCTTTGATAGATAAGTCCATAGTCCATTAGGAAAGGCAGTGGCAGTGGGCATTTTCCCTCCCTCATTGGTGGTCTTGAAAGATCGGCAGTGTCTCTTGTTGGGGGTCTTTGGCACCTGTAGGAAGAAACAAAGCCTGTTGAGGAAAGAAGAGGGTGATGCCCCTGTCTGCGTCCCTTTTGGTGGCTGACCTCATGTGTCTTTTTGATAGCAAAGTCCACAGTCTGTCAGGGAACACATCAATGGTCTCGGTCGGGTCAACATCCCTCGTCATCGGTCTTGTCTGGCATCTGTAAGGAGACACATAGTCTGTATGGAAAGACTCTGCATGGAATGGCTAGGGACACCATTCCTACCTATCCTGGCTAATAGCCATTGATGGACCTAACCACCATGAATCTATCTAGCTCTTTTTCGAACCCTTTTAAAATTCTAGCTTTCACCGCATCCTCTGGCAAGGAGTTCCACAGGTTGACTGTGTGCTGAGTGAAGAAAAACTTCCTTTTGTTTGTTATAAACCTGCTGCCTCTGAGGACGAAGGAGATGCAACTTCATAAAAAGTAAATTAATTGTGTAAAGTCAAGTAAAATACTTGAGTGTTTTCTTGTCCAATATTCACCCTCTTTCTCCTCTTAATCCACCTTTCTAATTTCATTGCCTGAGACACACAGAGATAAGTAATCAGTTCCATCTCAGATTAAGTCAGTGGCTCATTATTGGAACTCAAGGGTCCTCCTGGTATCCTGTCCTTTGCTCAAACCTACCTAGTCCCTGCCGTTTATTGCTTGGGATAAAGGGACAGGCTTCCTGCTATTTCTATTCTACTAGCAGCGATGCTCAAATTTAGCAATAATGTGAAATTTAGGATGATGCTGACCTCCTTTTGGCTCTCTCATCGTGCCTGCTGCTCCGCTGTGCTCTGCTCAGACGGCAGGTTCATCACTGAACCTGCCCGCTGAAACTCTGAAAGGCAACAGAAGCAAGAAGAGGTTATTCTATTAGGCTCTAGCCTACATGAAGCTGAACTGCCCCTTTGAGATGCTCAGTTCCTTGCTTTGAGAAGACTCTGAGACAGCACCTCCGTGTGTTGTCAGAGTCAGGGCTCCTCTTGCCGGAAAATTTTTAGGATCAAATACATGTGGTGTGATGGAAGGATGAGTGGAATAGTCAGTGTTGTCCTCCATGAAACATGACACTTGCAGACCTGAATAATTGATCCCTTTGCGTTATCCGTGCATGACCCTTGTTGTGAAGGCCTGAACGTCAGGATTTCTGAGTGCTTTTCCCAGCTCTGCAACTGATGTCATTATACCCTTAATCAAGCCCCTTAACCTCTCTTATGTCCATCTGTAAATTATGCTATATGGCTGTTATAGGTAGGGCCCTACCAAACTGATGGCCATGAAAAATACGACACAGATCATGAAATCTGATCTCCACCTATGAAATCTGGTCTTTTATGTGTCTTTACACTCTACAGATTTCAAGGGACGACACCAGCATTCCTCAAACTGGGGGGGGGGGGGGGGATTTTAGGGGGGTCACAGTATTGCCATCCTCACTTCTGTGCTGACTTCAGAGCTGGGCAGCGTACCATACCGTGCTATCCTTACTTTTGTACTGCTGCTGGCAGCAGCTCTGCCTTCAAAGCGAGGTCCCGACCAGCAATTGCCTCTCCCTAGCTGCCCAGCTCGGAAGGCAGCACTACCGTCAGCAGCAGTACAGACGTTAGAGTAGCAGTACTGCCACTCCACAATAACCTTGCTCCCCCAAACTCTCCAGAACCCCTACACTTACAACACTGTGAAATTTCAGATTTAAATAGTTGAAATCATTAATTGGCCATTTTTAAAATCCTCTCGCTGTGAAATTGTTTGTAAAGCTTATTTAGAAATTCAAACAAAAGGTATTAAAAGAAATAAAATTCTTACGTTTTGAAACTGAGCCTGAAGGGCGTCTGAATCTCCATGGGTTTTACTCCTCCTTACTTAGGATTGTGATTAACTTCACTGATTACCCAGCAAGGGAGAGAGTATACAGATGAGAAAGGGAATGAAGGAAAATATGGCTAAGACCCCACACTGTGAATGAATTGCGAAAAGCTCATTCCAGGCAACATGTTGGGCTCATAACATTTGATTGACAGATTTCACAGAATTTTTCCACTCAAGTGTAACTTACTCTTCTGAGCGCCTAAAGGGATGTGACCTGATGATGTTAATGTTCTGCTTCCAGATTAACACTCTTACATGCTTATCCTGTGCAATGACTATGTAAAAGGAGCAATCTGCCATGCATAACCTGGGAGGACACAGCAGAGATAAAAGTGGGCAGAGAGGAAGATTTATATTTAAGAAAGCAAGAAGGGGGAGGGATTGAAATGGGAATTGGACAGTCTTGGCCTACTCTATCCAAGATGCAGAATTCATGACAAAAAGAGTAGCAGGCTTACCAAGAGTCCTGACTAAAATTTGATATAGGTAGAGGGACTGACAGACTTGCCAGATGCCTGGGCAAGGTGGAGAGGGGCAGAGTCCTGAAAGGGGCGGGGCCTTGGGTGAAAGGGGCGGAGCCAGCCCTCAGTGCCACCGGGAGCATGTTACACTGGCTCCTCCAGCCTCAAGCAAGCCCTGAAAGCTATCCAGTGTGCCACACAATGCTCTGGCGGCCCAAGATGGTGGGTGAAAGCTGGTACCTGATATAAGTTGTTAAGCATTTGAAAGACAGCTATTCATAATCATTGAAGGGTCTGCGTAGTCTTAGTCAGGAGCGGCCCTAGACGAGCTGCCGGCAACTGGTGCCCTAGGCAAAACGCACGATCGGCGTGCGATTGGCACCCTCGCCTCCAAAGCCCTCAATGGCTGATTATCTTGGCACACTAGGCAACCGCCTAGTTTGCCTGTATTGACGGGCCCCCACTAGTCTCAGTGGTACATCTCCTACACAGAGTCCAAACCCTATCGTGCAAGCAGGGCTGTTTGGAATGCAGGAGTCGCTGCCCTGGATCAAGGGAGACTTCATAAGAGAGAGCAAGCTCTGAACAAAGCCAAGGGGCTATTGGTATCTACGCAGCACAATGACAGGCAGGCCAGAGCGATCAGAGAAAGAGATTTGCTTTCAAGGGATGTAAGACATTCGCTTTCTTCTTTTTTGCTCCATAAATGAGCTGAGGGAGACGTATCTGGCTTAGCTTCTGAGAAGAGTGAATCTAAATATGTTGAGCAACCCTTTCTGTTTGTTTTAAAAGCATTTCCTCTCTGTTTTCAATACAATTTGACTTTATGGTCACTGTGGTATGGGCAGTTTCACAGAGTGATCCCTAAAGACAGAGGCGTAGTGAAGGAGGTGTGGGGGGGGCCAATTGCCCCCAGGGACCACGCTAGGGGGGGCGCCGGGCCGGGGTGAGAGCGAGCACATGCTGCTGTGAGGGCAGGGGACTGGCCAGCCCTCCCCTGGCCCCGGGCCGGCCCTGCCGGGCGCAGAGTTCAATCAGCTCCCCCTTGCTCGCGCACGCTGTGCACGGCAGGGACGGGACGGGGCTGGAGGCAGCAATATAACTCGCCGACCATGCCAGCATTCAGTCGTCTCTCCCTTGCCTGCGCACGCTGTGCAGCGTTCCCAGGTGACCAGGGAGATGCCCGGGTGTGACGTGACATCATGGCCCAGGACTTTAAAAGTGTTTGGGGCCGCGTAGTGCTGGCCTAGCTTCCGGTTCAGAGTCTGGGGACTTTTGGGGCCCAAGCACTGACTCCGGCCCTGCAAGTGGAAGTCAGAAGGTATGGGAAGGGGAAAACTAGGGGGAAGGGATGAGAGAGGAAGGAGCTTGTGCAGAGGTGGAAGGGAGAGGGAAGGTACAAATGGCAGGGGGGCAAGTGCAGACAACGAGGAAAAGGGCAGGAGGGGAGGTGTCAGTGGGAGGGGGACAGGGTGATGCTGAGAGAGGAGAGGGTAAGGGCATTGGGGGCTAGAGGGGGAGGGGGAGGTGCTGGGAGAAGGCTTGAAAGAAGGGGTGGGCATGAGAAAAGCGGGGATGGAGCAAGTCATGTGAGACGGCAGACAATGAGGAAAAGGGCAGGAGGGGAGGTGTCAGTGGGAGGGGGGACAGGGTGATGCTGAGAGAGGAGAGGAGAGGGCATTGGGAACTGGAAAGGGAGGTGCCGGGGAGAAGGCTTAAAAGAAGGGGTGGGCATGAGAAAGGTGGGGATGGAGCAAAGCATGTGTGAGGGCACAGAGGGACAGGAGGGGAATGGAGCAGAGACTGGTGAGGGGGTGGGCATCAGGAAAAAAGAGGGCAAAGGGGGAAAGGGCAGTAAGGGAAGAGGAAGGAACCAGGAAGGTCCAGGGCTAAGGGAAGGTGCAGGTGCAAGGGGATTCTGGAGGTGAAGCAGAAAGGCAGACACCTGCAGGTAGAGGCCAGCACCAGAGGAGAGAGGCAGAACAAGTATGGAGAGGGAGGTGTTAGATGAGGAGAGGTAGCTCAGCTGATCAGAGTGGGGCTACTGGAGGAGTGGGCACAGCAGTGAGAGAAGGGCTGGTAGAGGGGGTCAGGTCGCAGGAGAGCTGAGGGAGGGAGAAGGGAAGGAGTCAGGATAGCAGAAGAGAGTGAAGGGTTGGGGGGCAGCAGGCACCAGGGGAGCTGATGGAGCAAGGAGAGGAGACATGGCAGCAGAGAGAAAAGGTAAAGGTTTAAAAATATTTATTAATAACTTGGTATGCTGCCCACGGCCAGTTTGTTTGCGCCCCGCGGTGCAGTTTGGGTTTATATGCGGATTAACATGTGGCTGGCGAGTGGGAGCCAAAACAAAAAAGTAGTCAGTGTAATGAGCTTCTGTTGATATGCATTTTAGTAGTTAAATTCTTGGACTGTCATTGCTCATGAAAAGTGCTGTCACATGGGTAGAAATCGGGTAAATGTTGCATTTTATTAATATCTGCAGAGCTGACTTAAATGGGATCTGTGTGTTGTGTAATCCTGCCTTAATCTTTGTATTCATGCCTGTCAGTGTGAGAGAAGCTATTTGTATATATTTGCTTGCATATGCAACCACACTAAAGTTGAGGCCCTCAGCATGTTCTGTAAGTATCAGTGTGGCCCCTGGGGCTTCCAAAGTTGAGTTGCCCTAGCTCATCTCTGACAGGTGTCTGTCTAACCTGGTCTTAAATATCTCCAGTGATGGAAATTCTGCAATCTCCTAGGCAATTTATTCCAGTGTTTAACCACCCTGACAGGCAGGAAGTTTTTCCTAATGTCCAACCTAAACCTCCGTTGCTGCAATTTAAGCCCATTGCTTCTCATCCTAACGTCAGAGGCCAAGGAGAACAATTTTTCTTCCTCCTCCTTATGATACTCTTTTAGATACTTGAAAGCTGCTCTCATGTTCCTTTTCAGTCTTCTCTTTTCCAAGGTAAACAAGGCCAATTCCTTCAGCCTTGCCTCATATCTCATGTTCTCTAGAACGTTCATCATTTGTGTTGATCTTCTCTGGGCTTTCTCCAGTTTCTCCATATTTTCTGAAATGTGGCGCCCAGAATTGAACATGATGCTCCAGCTGGGGCCTAATGTAGATGGCTCAGCCCCTGCCTAGGGGACATGAGACTGGGCGGGTTAATTTCCAATCCTCCTGTTTATTCTTTTCCTAATCCAGGAGGGCACGGTAGTTCTGATGGGGGCTCTGCAGGAAGGCAGCCCACACTGTTCCCTGCCTGAAACCTTGTGCAGGTATTACACAGCTGTCCAGCCCACCCTAGAGGTGACTGCATTTCAGCGTGCCTAAAGCAACACAGCACCAGCAATGGACAGGAGAATGGCTCCCGGGCATGGCTTACTCATGACTGCTTCAGTCCCATTGGATGGGCCTCAGTCTCTTTTCTTCCCCTCCCCCTCTTTGCAATGGGGCTGTAGACTCTGGGGGGAGAGAGGTGGAGGCAGGGAGAGGGGGCTCCCTGCCGCCGATGTAGACACGTCTCTGTATTAATCATTCTCTCACTGACGTTTTTAGCTTTGTAGTGAGTCCTTTTACATGGAACCTTTGTATTACGTCTTGGTAGAATAGTCCCTAGGACAAGTGAGGCAGAGACTGTCCCTGTGGGGTGAATGAGGTGGGAATGGAGAAGGCGGAAGGTGAGCACCTCTGGGCAGTTGCAAAGGTTGGAGAGGGGATGGAAGCCAGATCCGAGATCAATGAGCCCTGGGAAGTGGGCCCATTGAAAGGAGACTGGACCTGTGGATGCCCTGGGGGTCTGCAGTAAGGGCCTGCTTTGGGAAGCCCCCTCTTTGGAGGTGAATGTGGCAGCACTGAGACACCACCCAGAAGCCGGCACCACAGACACTAACTGCAGATTCATGGACCGGCTCTCTCAGATCTTGCACATGCATAAGATGATAGATCTGCAGGAGGGGGGGCAGTGGGGCGTAGCGAGGGGGCTGGAGGAGTCAATTGCCCCTGGGCACCATGCTAGGGAGGCTCCAATTTAATCCCATTCTGCTCCCCCCATTATCCCTTCCACTCACGTGCTCCTACTCCGCCTGCCACTGGCAGGTGGAGGCTGCTCCCTGCCTCTCTGCTCCGAGCCCGACCCTCCTCCATCTCCACTGGAGGGTTAGTGCATGCGAGAGCCCGGCCCTGAACTGTAGGGGGTGGGGGAAGATGCAGTACAAGTTCCCCTCAGCTGTGCACCAGGTTCGGGGCCGTGCCACATGGCGGCGGTGGGGGAGACGCAAATTTTTCCTTTGCCCCCGGGTGCATAACACCCTCGCTATGCCTCTGCCCAAAGAACTGGCAATCTTGCAACCTCTAATGGAAGTTGATGATGAGTAAAGAGTTTTGATGCCCCTTTCTGAGTCTCAGTCAAGGGGCCTTGACAGGGGAGCTGACAGGATTGTTGGGCCCCTGGGCAATATGAGGGGTGGACGCTGCACTCCCAGAAAGGGCCAGACTGGGGCAGCCAGCCTTCAGCTCTGCCTGGATGGCCCAGTGCCCCCTTCCCCACCAGCTCTCAGAATCCGCTAGAGTATATGGTCTGGGCGATTCCAAAGGTCCTGGGGCTCCGGCCACTGCTACTGCAGCAGTCGGGAGCCCCACACCGCTTAGAGTCACCTTCCCCTGGAACAATTGACGCCTTGGCCCATCCCCATCAGCAGGCCTTGGCCTGGTCTAAAGTATCCTATCCCATGACACAAAAGGAGAGAAGCTCAAAGACCAACCAAGTGGCCAGGCCAGGGCTGGTTGGAGTGCCAGTCAAAGAAAAATAAAAGGAATGATTCAGTCTGTTTATCAGTGGTACTCTGGAGTGAGCAGCCAAACTGTGGAGTCGGAGGGGATGTTCTCTACAGGGCAGTGTGGCGGGATCCGGCTCAGTCCACCTGGCTGCGCCCCCCCTACCTTCAGTCTCTTCCCCTCTTTAAATATCCTGGGCTTCATTTGCATCTTCCCGGGCGCCGCCATTTTTAAATGTCCCTTAGTCCGAACTCCGTGCCCGCGGCTACATGCTGCATGGAGTAGGTAGTTCGAATTAGGATCTCTAATTCGAACTACCGTTACTCCTCGTGGAAAGCCCTGCTGTTGAACTCAGTGGGCTCTGCATGAAGCCCTTAATGCAAAACCAGGCAGAAATGAGTCTATTAGGCATAAAAGGCGGGAAGTGAATATCTTGCCCCATTTCAGTTTGTCAAAGATGTACACAGCTAAAAAGAAAATATTTTGACACATATTTTTGAAGTCTAAATGCAGAAATATTAACTTTGGAACTATGTGAGATGTAAGGGTAACTAATCTGCTAGAAAGTGTATTGCTCTGATATGACAGGGCACAATTCTTATCTCATTAGTGACTGATATTGTGCATAGGAAATGTGCAAATGCAATATGTTTTTGTCATATAAAATACGGTTAATTTTGCTCCGGCCCACTAGGGAAATCTCAAGGTAATTTTGTCAACATGATCTGTAATGAAATGGATTTCAGGACACACAGGCTCAGAGCACTAGCTTTCTCAGAAGTAGAAATAGCAATTCTTAGTCCCTCTCTGGAGGCTGCAGAGAACTATAAAAACTATAAATATTTTAAACTTAACATTTAAAAGATTAGAAATCTGCTACAAAGAAATTGACTTCCTTTTTCATGGGAAAGGGAGGGAATAACAGCAAAGAAAATCAAAGCTGCAGAAAGTTGCCAGCTAAATCTAAGCACACTCTGAGGAGTGAGTGAGTTTGAATAGAATAAGAACTTACCTCCATGTCTGTGGCTCTGGCAAAGGTTGGCTGCGTAACAAACTGCCACGTTAGTAGCTGGTCCTTCTAAAGATAATAGACTACTACCGCATCCAGTTATTAGATTTACTTCTTTAATGCACAGAGAAGAGTCTCTGCCAAATATCCTGGGCTCAATGACTCAGGGACGTAGTTGTTACGAGAATGGAAATGTCACAACATAAGTGAGCTCTTTTCACAGGGTGTTCATTTGAAAAAAGAAGCCGGAAAACATTGTGGTTCTCATTAATGTCCATCTGTCCAATAACACATTGTCTGTCTGTTAAGCATTGATCAAAGGGCAAAGGTTACCTTCTTTCTTGTGGCCAGGAGCAGAGCTGGTGTAATTTTCCTGTGTTGGGAGGACAGAGGATGGCAAAGTGTGAACCCATTGTTCACTATAAAATCTAGCACAGAGGAAGCTCCCTGTACATATCTTCAGACAGTTTTTGGTATGAGCCTGGGAGGGAGTGTGGGAGAGGTAGTAGCGGCAGAGCTGAGGGACCGGATACTATGCTCGTTAACAGCATAGCAGTGCCCGCAGGCATCCTCTTCAGTGTACACAGAACAGGGATGGGCTATAATTTTTAATGGGGGGGACGACTCCAAGATTTTGGCAAGTGGTCAAGGGCTGCACGTCTGTGGAGGGGGCGTGGAGTCTAGGATGGACGTCAGATGTAGAAGTGGGTTTGGGGTAGGCGTCTGGAGTACAGGAGGGGGCATGGGGTCTGAGAGGGAGTATGGGTGAAGGAGGGGGTTGCAATCTAGGGCAGGGGTTGGGATGCAAGGTACAGGAGGAGGTATGGGTGCAGGAGAGGATTCTGGTCTGGGGGAGGGCTATAGAAGGGGGCGCAGGATCTGGGAGGAAGTTTTGATCTGGGAGAAGCGGGGAAAGGGGTACAGAGAGTTTGGCTGGTGACCTGGGGCAGGTAGTTGGGAGGGAAAAGAGGGAGTGGGGTGCCAGAGGCAGGCTCTGGCAGACACTTACCTAGGCAGCTCCCAGCCAGCAGCCCTGCGGGAACACGAGGCAGGCTCTCTGCTGAAGTCTCAGACGGCTGGCTGCTCCACATGGTGTCTGCTCCAGGCATAAGATGGGAGAGGAGGAAGAAGGCTTCACATCCTGCTGGCCTCACCAAAGTTCTCACCTCCCATTGGCCAGAAATTGGCCAAGGAGAGCTGAGAGATTTTGCCTGGGACCGGAAGCAGTGTGCAAAGTCTCCCTCCTCCCTCCCTGGCAGTCCAGAGCAGAGAGGAGCCTGCTGTTTAATGAGTGAGTTGCTCTCTGCATAAGGGTTCCAGCGAAGTAGCCACAGCCTGGATCCAGTGGCCTGGTGAGTCGGATTTGACATGCTGGCAGCCTCTTGCATAGAAAGATACTGGCCCCTGATCAAAAAAGTTTTACACTGCAGCACTACCCCAGCAAAGAGGGGACAGGCCCAATGCAGCATTCTCTAGCATGAGGTGAATATTGAGCAGCCCTGATTGCAGTCTGTAACCAATGCAGGGCATAAACGGAGTAGCTCTAGCTCTAATCACCTTCTTTAGATAAGGGAATGGAGAGAGAGAACAATAATCACCTCCGTGTAACTTATAAATGTTTCTGAATGGCTCTGAAGAGCCTGTCTTGAATTACTATCGCTAATAACTGGCATAATTTCTAAAGCATAAATGTAAGGGCACTAAAGCTTCTGTGTTCACGTGATGTAGGGGAAATAATAATTTAAAAAGTGCAGTACATAAGCTAAGACACTTCAGGTACGCAGTCCCAGTTATAGAGCATCGTCTGCCTACCCATACCATGTCTGTGAAGATGAGTGCAAAGGAGAAGCCTATACATGGTTAAAAAATAATGCACAGTAATAAAGTCCTGTTACAAAATATCAGTTAACCATGGCTCCAGCCTTTTAAAGTTCTGTCTATCACTCTGCCCACCTGTCTGAAAAGCCTCACCTTGGAATTGCTATGCTTAGGTTATTTTATAAACTATATTTATATTAACTTTACAGAGTTCTATGGCTGAAGGCTTGGCTTTTTGTAAGAGTCAAAGGCAACTGGCACCCAAAACCCGTTGGACTTTTGGCTTTTAGAAAGAGATGAAAATATATTTCTTGGAAGGTGCTGCTGTGCTCTAGAAACTCATCCATAATTACAGGCCTTGAATCACATGCAGAATTCCACTGAAGGATTAGACCATGTTTTATGCAAGTCCTTGATGCCTTGGTGAGAGAGAAACTACAAAAAACCTAAAATAGAGGGATTAGGATAGGCCAAGTGTTTCCATAAAAAACGTTACACAATCCCAGACAAATTAATATGTCATGTTTTGATTGATACAGGGTTTGTAAAGCACAAAGATAACACAATAAAGTGCTGAATTTCTGTGCTCCATTGACTTTAATTAAACTTGCCTCTGGCTTACAAGCTTTGATGAACTAGGCATAAACACAAAAGATTGCTCTGCTGGTTGGATTTTCCTCACTAGGCACCACTGTTTGGGGGGTGCCTCACATACATATGGTACTATGTATGATTTACCCGGCATTGCTCGGGTCCTTAGCTCAATTTTTTTATGCGGAAAATAAAAATAAAAATGTACATGCTGTATTGAAATAATTGCATTTTTCAAAAATATAGTGTTATTTTCATGAAGGTAATTTTAGTATTTTTTTTTTAATGGGAATTCCCTCAAGTGTATTTTTTTCTTCATCCCTGTAAAATCTTATCATTCATTATATTTTAACAAAAAGGGGTATCGTCAATTTGGTTTCCAGTAACATTATCTTCTAGTTTTCAAACTTTAAGCATTGATTTAACTGCCAAAACGGAGCGCTAGTCCAAATTTCTCTGTTTTAGTTCTTTTATGTAAGATCTATTGAGAAGCAATCCTGTTCCAAGGTTCATTCTATTTTTCTGGCTCATCTTGTGTCAGTCTCTTTCAACATTTGTTTCAGTGATATCAATTTTGAGGACTGTATTTAATTTGGCGATTCTCTCTTTTCTGCTTGGTTTTACGAAAAGCAGTCCCATTCCAGGCACATCCCATTTTCCTGTCACAATCAAATCCTTACATTGCTTTAAGTTATGATAAAAAGAAGCTATATATTGATTGTGTGGTCCTAGATTGTACTGTTTAGGAGGAGATTTTTAGCAAACAGACAAACTCTCTAAAATATATAGTATATATGTCTAAACAGGTTAATAATATGTTAGACACATTATTGCTCTGGAGGTGTGACTCAACTGTGCTCTATATGATTGATGGCCAGAGACAGACGAGGGTGTCTGCATTCCAACCTTTCTCAGAAATTTATTATTGTATGCAAACTGCAATATAACAATGAAAATGAGGGCGTAACTAGTTAGATCATGAAACAGAGGCTGTTGGTTGTGCACTCTACCCAGAGAGTATGTCATGAATTACTGGAACTATCCTGGCATTTGAAGTAAATGCATAAAGAACCAACATAACCACATGGCATTTGTTTATGCAGAAAAAAAATCGTATTCCAAATGGTCAAGAATGAAAAATTGATGCCTCTGACTTCACAGATGTCCAGCAGACAAATGAAAATATCAGGAACTTTGTGCAGTTTTAAGAGGGAAAAGGAAAAACAAAACACTGTTTAGATGGTGAGACATCGTACCCAGGAATGTGACAAAGTTGAGGAATAAGCCATGAAAAGGAATGAATGGGGATACTCTACTGCTACCCGTGACTGCCAATGTGCTTTGGGATGACAACATCAAAATATTTACTTTCATCAGCTTTGCATCTAACTCACTTAGGGTATGTCTACACTACAAAGTTAGTTCGAACTAACGGATGTTAGTTCGAACTAACTTTAATAGGTGCTACACTAGCGCTCCGCTAGTTCGAATTTGAATCGAACTAGCGGAGCGCTTAGTTCGAACTAGGTAAACCTCATTTTACGAGGACTAACGCCTAGTTCGAACTAGCTAGTTCGAACTAAGGGCTGTGTAGCCCTTTAGTTCGAACTAGTGGGAGGCTAGCCCTCCCCAGGTTTCCCTGGGGGCCACTCTGGCCAACACCAGGGAAACTCTATGCCCCCCTCCTGGCCCCGGACCCTTTAAAGGGGCACGGGCTGGCTACGGTGCCCGTGCCAGGTGCAAGCCTGCCAGCACCCAGCTAGCAGACCCTGCACCTGGCACGGCACAGAGCCACCCACCCGATGCCCCCCAGCCCACCCCCTCTTGCCGGGACCAGGCTGGCGGCTCCCGGGAGTTTGCCCTGGACCGCAAGAGGCGGGCACCTTCCTGGGCTAGTGCGGACATCGTGGACCTCGTCCACGATCTCCGCACTAGGCACAGGAAAGTGGCCGTCTAGGGCAGGAGAGCTGCCAGCCTGGCCACCCAGGACCAGGTGTGCATGAAAATCAAGGGGGTCCACTGAGCCCCCCGACACTGAGCCCTGAGCTTACAATGGCCGTACTGGGTCAGACCAAAGGTCCATCTAGCCCAGTAGCCTGTCTGCCAACAGCGGCCAACCCTAGGGACCCTGGAGGGGATGGACCGAAGACAATGACCAAGCCATTTGTCTCGTGCCATCCCTCTCCAGCTTTCCACAAACTTTGGGCAGGGGCACCACTCCTACCCTCTGGCTAATAGGACTCCATGGACCCAACCTCCATCACTTTATCTCACTTCCCTTTAAACTCTGTTCTAGTTCTAGCCTTCACAGCCTCCTGCAGCAAGGAGTTCCACAGGTTAACTATTTGCTTTGTCAAGAACAACAACTTTCTCTTACTAGTTTCAAGCCTGCTACCCATTCCTTTCCTTTGGTGTCCTCTAGTCCTTCTTTATGGGAACTCAGGAAGAACTTTTCTGAATGCACCCTCTCCACCCAACCCCTGCTTTTAGAGACCTCTATCCTGTCCCCCCTCCGTCTCCTCTTTTCTAAGCTGAACAGTCCCAGTCTCTGTAGCCTCTCTTCATCTGGGACCTGTTCCCAACCCCTGATCATGTTAGTTGCCCTCCCCTCTCCCAGCCTTTCTCTTCCCCTCTCCCACCTCCTTTTCCCAGTCTCCCCCAGTTTTTTTTCAATAAAGACAGAGTCAATGTTGGAAGAAACGTTATCTTTATTTTGTACATCAATAAGAAGGGGGGCTAAGGAAGGGTAAGTGGAAGGAGGTGAGGGAGGAATGGGGTACGAGCCCCCGATGGGGAGGACTGGGCTGGCTCTGCGGGCTTCTGGGGGTGGAAGTTCTCCTGCAGCCCCCCAATTACTCCCTCTCCCCAGATGGCAGCCTGCGGCAAGTGCAGCCGGGCTGATGGCCGAGTGGTGTGATGTGCCCAGTGTGGGCACTCAGGGCACTCCAAGCCAGAACTTCTTTGCAAGCGGGGCACCCCTTAGAACTGTGTGTCCGGGGTGGGGGTCGGGACCCTTTAAGCGCAGCCCTCGGCTAGCCTGAGACAGCATCTCCACGCTCTAAGTCCTCCTCTGATGCCCTGCCGGCACTGCTTCCGGCCATCCTTAAGCCCTGTTCAGAGTCCACTCAATGTGGACTTGCTAGTTCGAACTAGCAAAACGCTAATTCGAACTAGTTTTTAGTTCTAGATGCGTTAGTTCGAACTAGCTTAGTTCGAATTAACTAATTCGAACTAAGTTAGTTCGAACTAGCGCTGTAGTGTAGACGTACCCTTAGGGCCTACTCTAGGCCTATTGATGTCCAGGGGAGTCTTTCCACTGAGTTAAATAGGCTTTGGATCATGCCC